TTGGCGTCAGATTCTTTATTTGACTATCCAATGAGGTGCGAAGACTTCTCTCACCGTCTAAAGGAGGCATCAGGTACCTCTCACCTACGTCCATCTAGTGGTTTTGTGACCGGTAAACCGCCGCTAATCGTTTTAATTTCCTGGACTGATCTCTCCAGGGGTGANCCAGGTGTCCAGATAACTGGCTTTGTGAGAAGGAGCTGTGCCCGGACTCTACCCATTGATCTTTCAAGCCCGATTGGGTTTGCTGTGAAAAGCTCGCAGGGTCATGGAGGCACGCAAGTCATAACGGGATAAGAAGAAGACTTGTTAGTTTACCTTGTGATCATTGATGATTGAGGGGGGAGACCAGAAGTTAAAGGATGTGACCAGGATTAATTATGTGGCATCGCAATCATCAAGGTAGAATCGGCGTGTCACAGAGGTAATAATAGCCGTCGCTGAGGAGGAGCACAACGCAAATTTTCCAATGAGAGTCATTCCACTAATGAATGTTCTTTATGTCACTAAGGCTGTATTGAGATTTGAACTCAGGCCACAATGAGCCACGTAACTGACGACAGCTCACTCTATTTGCACAACAAGTGACTGACCAGCTTTTCTATCGAACTAAGAATACATTTGTGCTTGTTTTGAAAATCGATCCTTCAGGATTCCAACAAGCCCATTCCATTTCAGTGACCTATATTCTTTCTGGCCGAAGATGATCAGACCAGTCTCGATTTAGCAAAGGCGCGTTTTAATGATCAAACGTCAATCGACAGGGTATTACGGTATCAGAAAATCTGGAGATCTTTTGAATTCAGACGCTTGGAGTTACACGAATGGCATCGCCATCGAATTTTGGGTAGTTGATTGATTTTGTAACCGGAAGGTTAACAAAACCACACATGTATCCGGTTAATAACAGTACAAACCGAAACCGTACTGAACACATCTCCTCAATCTCTTTCCAACCTTAGACCACTGAACTTCTCCATTTTCTTTTCGAATCCACTTTCAACTTTCCTTTCTTCTCCTATTCTTCATCCCAATGGGCAGTCAAAAGACAGCAACCAAAACCGGCGCACGAAAGTGCATGGTTAATGGTTGTTCAAACCGAAACTGAACACAAGGTCCAGGTTTCCCGATGCGGTTTCAGTTTTCCAACCAAATAACTTTCACCTTTGTGAAGAAACGAAAAACGGCGAAGGCTAAAAAGGAGCATCACTAGGATAAACGTAGGGAACCTTTCAAATAACTATTCCTTAAAGAAAGCGGGAAGAGCTTTAGTGCGTACAATACTCAGCCAGTCCGCAATCATATCAGGTCAAAGGAGCTGAACGGGGAAAACAAAAAGCGAGCCAGCATCCTGAATTGTTATCCTTTCCTGAGAATACACTTCGGCTACTTTGTGCGTACATTGGGTATTTCTGTTGATGGCGTTTTGAATTCGTCAAACAACATTGGTAGCATCGCCAAGGAAGTCTACTAGTGACACATACCGCAGCTACAAGAATCAAAAGAGGTAAAAGCACATATGTGAAAAAACGTATATATTAGTGAACTACCGAGACTGTCCAACACCCTTTGCCTTACCTTGGTCTAATGAAACAAAAGCATCTGTTTGACAGGTTATCATGATTCGAATCGAGTGTATTACATCTGTGACAATGTTGACCAGATGTGCAAATCAGAATACTCATGACTCAGTTGGCACGAATCACTTACCTGACAAAACTGAACACCCCGCACAGAATTCCCGTGTCGATCGATCAACGGTGAGTAGAGTGCAATACCCATCAGATTTGGGACTACGGCCAGGATCACGCCCGATACACCAGACTTGCATGGCAACCCCACCTGAGCGGGGAACCGAAATCAGACAGCGAAATTTCAATGGCCTATCAGCCCACGTTGATCACACATGTAACGTTTTCAACGGTAGAGTAAGTTCATGAACACAATCTTAGAAATTTAACCCATCCACAGAGAAGAATTCGACTTGGTTGGATGAACGAGAGATAACAGCCAGCAACAATTCAGTAGATGGTTGACTTGCCTTGAATGCAAACTGGCCGGAGTAGTCGTACATGCCACAAGAGTGCATCACAGATAAGGTATCTCGAGCCGCACCGGCACTGAGTAGTCGAGCTCCGGTCAGTGGATTGATTCCACCATTAGCCAACGAACTGGCCATCACAGCAACCGCATCACAATTGCCTTCGATGGAACAGATTTGTAGGTAGAAATCCACCAAATCCCTTAGATTAGTCTGTTCCGGAAAACAGCGATTCTCCTGCATGTAGTAAGCAATTGCAAAATTCCGATCCGCACTAGCTCGTTCAGAAAGAAATCTACAAATAAAAAGCAACAAAAATACAACAGTAGGAGTGAAATAACATATAACACAGAACGAGGAAAATACTCGAAGCCAAAAGTCTACATACGTGATACATGACCATATTTCAACTAAGGTGCTTATCTTACAGATCTCACAAGACCTCTTGATATATCCTGTATGTGAGTGAATTGTGTAGATTCATACACGATTGTCTCGGTGCAATCAAAACAGTAACCTGCGGATATATTCAAGTACGTTATTAGAATCAANTCTCGTTCAAATGTGATCTATTAACAAGATGCCTGGATGTGTAGATCCCTCGAACGTTTCCTGAGGTCTGTTTACGTACACAATTCACCTGTCGATCCATGTCATTGACTCTCAAGGATAAATTACCGATCCTCAATTCCTCCATGTTGACCTATTCTTTTGTTTGCTCATGTTCGGCAAGCTACA